AGTAAGTTAAAATTATATTTACATAATAGAATACCACACAACATTGAAGAAAGATAAACTCATGCTACATGCAGGAACACAGATGAATTTCATAGGTAATGTTGAAAAAAAGAAAAAACACAAAGTATGTACTGTAGGATTCATTTCTCTGAAACTGAAATAGGCAATCCTAATCTATGATAATAAGGTCAGAATAGTGCTTACCTCACTGGCTGATACTAACTAAAGAGGAACCATGAAAAAATTTTCTGGGATGTTGGGAAATGTTATCTTCATCTACTGGTGGTTATATAATATTAAAATTTATTGAGTTGTGTGATATATGGACATTTTACTGAACATATGTTAATATCAATGAAAAATAGATTTACAAATTTTATGAAGTATTATCTCCACTTAGGAAGAATGTGAGGCTTACAGATGTTAAGTGATATGCTCATATAATCAGTAACTGGTGGACCTGGGAGTAAAAAGAAACGCAGGTTTTAGTATTCTAAGTCTAATGCTGACTTCAGCTCACCATACTGTTTCTCTGTGAAGGTAGGACTAGTGTTTGCAATGTTTTTATGTCAATATAACATCCAGCATAGTTCCTGTACTTATTAGGTAAAGAACTATTTACTGATTCAAATAGCAGTCATGTATTTGATGAGACTGAACATTAAAATCCTTAATCATTAATGCCTAACTTCAAATCATAGGTCCTCTAATTTCTATATGAGCTTTGTTTTTTGCCTCCTGATTTCTTAACTATTTCTCTTGGACTCAGAAGTCTCGTATATTGACTCCTAGTTTTTATGTCAACAATATCATTATGAACTACTTGGAAGTTATATTTCTTATTTTTTTTTATTAGATAGGGAAAGAGATGTTTTCCTGTTTACTTAATTCTGGAGTTATTTAGATTAATATAATAGCAAAATAAGATTATTTTTCTTTCTTTTCCAGACGTTAACTTTGAGCAATCTGGCTTATGTTCTTGGGCAAATCTAGAACCTGTTCTAAATTACTTATATCAGAATTCTAACAATGTATGAACAAAAAAATTAGAATAATTATTAAGCAGAATGCTAGAAGAAATAGAGTTCAATAGATAGGAATCAAGAAGGAGCCTATATAACAATTGGAGAAAATTGTGTTAGTATTTTAGATCATGTTTCTTAATATGGTGTAGAATGAAGGGCTTTTTTGAAAAAAGTCTCTTTCCCTTTGACTTTTGGAACCAGGGAAGGGTGGTGCTATAATTCAGACAATTCTCTTTCTGTTGCCTGATATTTTATGGAGACTTGCCAGATAGAAATCTAGTAGGTCAATTAAGAATGTGAACTCTGGGGATCCCTGGGTGGCGCAGTGGTTTGGTGCCTGCCTTTGGCCCAGGGCGCAATCCTGGAGACCCGGGATCGAATCCCATGTCGGGCTCCCGGTGCATGGAGCCTGCTTCTCCCTCTGCCTGTGTCTCTGCCTCTCTCTCTCTCTCTCTCTCTCTCTCTGTAACTATCATAAAAAAAAAAAAAAAAAAGAATGTGAACTCTGAGCCTATGTCACTAGGATATGTGTACTTCTGGAACATGCCAATAACTTTGTAGCAACTCTGTAATTTCACTTTTTAGGTGCTCAGATCTTTTACTTTGTGTTGTTGTAGTATAATCACATTTAAAGTTTTATTAACTACTGAGTAGGTGATATGAATAATTGAAATTTATGCAAGGCATAAGGGGTCACAATACAATAGCTTCCATGTACCCACCAGGGAATTTAAGATAAAGAACTGTACTATTACCTTTGAAGGCACCCATAAGCTCTTTTGCATCCTATTCCCCTCCCTCTCCTTCAGAGTAAGACACTGTACTGAACCTGGGATTTATTGTTGCCTTGCCTCTCTTTTAGTCCATATATTTGTACCCCAAATGAAATCCTATGTTGCTCACTCTGTGTGTCCTTTGAATTTACTTTTTAACATAACGGTCCTGAGATTTATCTGTTGTTGTTGCATGTGGTTATAATTCATGTTCACGTGTATATTGTATCCAGTATGTGAATATATAATAATTTATGTATCTGTTCTGATATTGGACATTGGGTTGTTTTCAGATGTTTGCTAGAACAAGCAATGTTGATAAGAACATTTACATATAATATTGATAGGTAATATGGCTTAGAAAGGAAATACTGGATTTTGGGGGAAATTAGGCTTATTTGCATATGATAGAAAAAGGCACATTTCTTCCCATTTTTAGAGGGAAATAAATATAGGAGAAATGAACAGAGTGTAGACCATCTAGTCTTTTATCTGCAGATCTCCAGTTCTCTACATTTGGAATACTATAAGCTAGTACAGTGTCATCTTTTCTTTGACCATTAGGGCAGAAGTTGATGATGCTGTGTAACCCTACTGAAGTCTCTTTTTAAAAAGAGGCCAATGAAAGATGCCTTGAGACATTTTTTACACAGCCTGGAAGCTGTCACTGAGTCCTGAAATTGAAGCATGACATTGTGCAGTGATGCGCTAATGGAGGAAGTACAGAACAGAATCAAGGATGTCCTTTGGGAAGCCAACAGAGTCTGTTACAAATGTAAAATCAAACTGCAGTGAGATGGAACTGAAGACTCACAGCACAGGCACACTTTCAATGAGATGTGCAACTTGCCACAAACAGCACATCTGGCTTCCCAAGCAGTTTCATTCAGACCATTTATGAGCCCATCAGAACATTGAGTGGCAGGACAAGGTCAGCAGCAACAAGCATTTGGAATGCAGCCTGTGTAAGAGCTTTGAAATAATTCTTCTCCCAACACAGCTTTCCTGAGCTGGATGCGTGTGCAAAATGGACTACAGCAGGATTCCTAAGCAACTGTTAAATAGCAAGCCGAGGTGGGGAAGGCACAAACTGAGAAGGTAGAAGTGTTTCAAGATTCACCACCATTCAGTCAGTCTAAGCAATGAGGGCTGGTGGGGCATGCTCAGCAGCTGACGAGCAGCCTGGGATGCAGCTGTAAGGGACAGACTTTCTGTTTGGGAGCAAAAGCTTCAGGCCGGCTGTGCATCTAAAAAGCAGGCCCACAAACAATGATGGACTATTTGAATAACAGGCGCAGCTGCTAATAGAAGGGTAAACTTGACATCTGTGGGGAAGAGATTGTTGCTCTCGTTTTATTGTCTTTGGCCTTACCCCTGGGTCTGATTCAGGAAAGACATTTATGCACACACAAGTATATAAAAATAAAAGTAAAGTTCTGCTCTACTACTTTCCACTCCTTCACCAAAACAGAACGAAAATTTCGTCAGAGTAGTGGTGGCAATGAAACTCTAGGAGGAGAGAGTGTGACATTTTTAGTTTTTGATCAGTCTCATCACATTTTTAATTTATTGGCAGATGCTCAAAAGACTAATCATGCACTAGAACCAATACCACAATTATATCTTTATATTTGAAAATGCCTCGTAGCCATTGTACTATATGGTATTTTCCAATTACTTTCTGTGATTTCTTTCTTCTTCCGGGGCCTAGCATACTAGTGGCTGTATATCTCCTAGTAGGTGATCAATAAATACTTGTTTAGCTGGACTGAACTCCAAGGATTCCTATGTCAGTAGGTAATAAACTGATGTCCAGTTTTCACCAGGTTCTCTTATCCTTAGCAGTTCCATGAGGTGGTCTAATTCTAACAGTCTGAAGATGCTCTGTTAGACTTGCAGTATATCAACAGTGTTTTACCTTTGTTGCCTCAAGTTTGCATCCTTCTTGGCTTTTTGTCTTATTTTCTTGTTTTGCTAGGTTCTCAGTTATATACATATGTCAGTTCTGATGTCAGGAAGAGAAAGTCCATGATGAATTAGATGAATTAAAAGCATGAAGTTGGAAAGGGATAATAATAAGTATGGCAAATGGGTAAAAAAAAGGACTACCCATATATACAAATATAAAGGCAGAGTGGTAGAGAGAGAAAAGATAGGAAAACAGAGGCACAGACAGTCCAAGGAAGAAGAATTAAGAGATTAGGCACAGAGTGGATAGTGTCCCCCAGCACCTAAAAGAGACACTAAATACTGTGCTAGTTTAAAATCTCAGAATTTTCCAATTGACATGTTTCGTGTTACATGAAATAAAATGTGCCATTTGTGTGTATTGTTATGTTTACGTATTTATCAAAACTCTTAAAATTGAGGTATACTTGGCATTCAACATTATATTAGCTTCAGGTATACAAACATAATGATTCAGTATTTTTATGTATTGTGAAGTGATCACCACAGGTCTAGTTAACATCCTTCATCATATATAGTTATCAAAGTTCTTAATTCACATGTGGGAGCCTGTATAATTTGATTTTTTTTCCTTTGGCACCTTCAAAGCGTGAATAACGTTTTCACACATAAATTAATCTGTATTTAAAAAGATTTCATTGTTTAGCCCTACCACTTATAATTTGATGAATGAAATGTTGGATTTTTCTAGTATAGAAGCAGAGGAAATCATCTTGATTGTCAGTAAATTAGTCAGCTGTGCAAATAGACATATTTTGAATTCCTGTCCTTTCAACTTTTAATGCTTTTGTAAAAATCGAAGTGTGTAATTGACATTTAATATACTAGTTTCAAATGCTTTACTTTTTTCAAAGTTACTTAGTTTTGGCTTAGGACAGTAATGAATAAAGTAATTGGCTTTCCATTACACTATTATTAGATGGAAATAGTCTGTATTGCCCTCTATTGGTGATTAAGTTATTTTTTGACAAAATAATTGCTGTTACACATATTTATGTGTTTAAAAATTGTGAAAATTGTGTCAACTGATATATCTTTACAGAGAAGCACCTTTTTTTTTTTTTTTTTTTTAATGAAAAGCACTTTTAAAAACCGACCTAATTGTGGTAGCCATGAATTGGCAAAAGGGGGACAATTGAGATTTGGGGCTTCTTGATTTAATAGTTTTATTGACTGAAGTAGTTTGAAATACTTTTGCCTTTGATTAATTTTCATTTTAATTTTTTCTTACCAGAGCTCCACCTCAGATAAGGCGTCCCAATCGAGAAGTAAGACCTCTGAGGAAAGAAATGCCAGGAGTAGGAGCCCGGGGACCTGTAGGCCGAGCACATCCTATATCAAAGGGTGAAAAACCCTCTACAAGTAGAGACAAGGATTATAGAGCAAAAGGAAGAGATGATAAGGCAAGACTCTCTTTGTAACTCATTCCCTCGAAGCCCATGACTTTTGGTATATATTATAATTTTTTTGGCTTTTCAGGGTACCTCGGTTTTGATGTGGAAGAGATAAGTAAAACAGTCTGATTAAAAAACCTAAGCAGTCTTTGCATTTTGAAGACCATTCTGCAATGTTAATGACCTTAGAAGTATACTAAAAAAGAACACACAGATTTTTAGTAAGATGGATCGTGGAAGAAATATTCAAAATAAAGTTTTAAAACTTAAAATATATTTTAACATGTATTCTAAATTAAAATGAACAATAAATGAAAATAGTTGTAGGGGAAAGACTTATAAGGATGTAGATTTTTTTCTCTTAATGAATTTTCCTTGGTTGGAGTTCACTGTATATATTTACTTTATCTGGGAAATTGTTGGGTGAATGAACATAGTACTAGGTGGAAATTCTGTCCTGCCCTTAAGATGGATTGGAGGTAATCTTACAGAGTAGGGAAGCCAGGCAGGATGACCTGACACATTTTTAGCCTTAATTTTAGTGATGCCATTTCCTGTTTCCATTGTGACATCAGACATGAATGATAATGATTATTGGATTGCCACCAAGAAGTTTTAAATTCCTGTAGCTAGAGATTCAGGATATGTTCTCATGTTGATGCTGTGATATATATAATGAAAATATAACTTCAGGGGCACCTGGGTGACTTAGTAGTTGAGCATCTGCCTTTGGCAGAAGAGGGAGGAGGGAAGGAGCCTGCTTCTTTCTCTGCCTATGTCTCTGCCTTTCTCTGTCTCTCATGAATAAATAAATCTTAAAAAAAAAAAAAACAGAAAAGAAAAAATATAACTTCTCACTTAATAGCAAGTTGTTATCCTTCAAAATAAGATGGCTGTTTGAATTATTTTTATGATGTATAATTTCAATCAGTAGATAAGGCCTCTGCACAAACAACTTTCCCAGGCCTTGTGCATATTTAATCTGTGGTTTGAATAAAACTTTTTTTTTTTTTTTTTAGTATTTCTATTCATGATATGTAGATTCAAAGATAGATTCTATTTGATTTTTGTATTTTGTCAGAGCTATTATACCGTAGAACAGTAAGTGATTCCAACTCTGATCCTTTTTGGGATTCGTGAGGGCGCACTAATTACTTACTTACTCCTGCTGGTTTTCCCTCATTATCAAAAACCACCTGAATGGATACTTAAAAATCTCTGTCTTATGTGTCATCTTTGCTTCCCTTGTTTTTCACTTTTGTTGGCTAATCTTGGTTTGCATTTTAGAGCATAAAGTATGGGCTGAAGTCCAACTCTTGCTCTGCTAGGAGCTTTTAGGTAAACTTTTAGAATTAGGTGGGGAACTTTCAGTCTTTACCTTCATTTCACATTAACACAAGAGAATAACCTTAGTCATGGCTTACTGGATGCCTCCCTGCTAGGCACCATTTCCAGTGATTGGACAGTAATTCAGGAAACAATCCCATGAAGTAGGTACTCATCTTGTAAATGAAGAAACTGAGGTAGAGAGCCGAGGCCTTAGCCCAAGGTCATAGAGTCAAAGCATGGAGCTTGGAATGGAATCTGTGAAGTCACAGATCTTTTTCTTCTTTATTTTAGGATTTTTTTCATATTATGTAGTTATCCGTACCTAACTAGATTAAAAATGGGATTAGATTTGAAAGGAGTCCGAGAACAATTAAATAAATGTTGATTATTAAATGTGATTTGTAAGCAAAGAACAAAGCAATGAGGCAGCATTTGTTGAATGTCAGATTCTTCTGGAGATTGCAAATTGTCTCTTAAAAATTTCCAAATAATTTTCTAAATCTTATTCTTTCATTGACATGTCAGTACTCAGAATGTCACTGGAAAGTAAGCCCTTTATTAAAAAAAAAAGAACTCTACAGTTGTTTGAAGATAAAAGATGGTTTTTGAGTCACTCTGGACACAAAGGGGACTACAATTTGTAAAAACAAACTCATGCAGAGTTTATTAGAATTTGAAAAGTGTACTTGGTTCAGTTATGGTTCTTATGAGCACTCAATGTCCTTTAGAATTTTAGTGTCCTTAAAACTTACTGGAGGCTGTGGTAGGGTTTGAGAATGCTTAGGTGAAACTGACATACCCACTGCCTTTGAATATGCTATTTTGACAGTGAGTACTTTGTATTGGAGGGCTCCTCAGAGGTACAGTGGTCCCCAGTATCGTTGGTTCTGTGTATTGCAATCAGATTAAGAAAAAAAAAAACAGATTAGAAAATTCAGAAGGCATTAATGAGAGTAAGGACACTGTAATTTTTAGAAAAAATATTTAATTATATCAATATATAGAAAAACTTTAATTATGTGATTATATATTGGTGTATAGTAGCTCATGATCTCAAATGAACTTATTATTTTGTGTCGTGGTCAAAAGTTTGAAAGCTGCCATCATTGTACTTCAGCCAGCCACTTAACTTTATAGATGTAAAAAAAAAAAAAAAAAGTGAGGACAAGAGAAATTATATATCTTACCCAAGATTCTCAGTATCTGGATTTTTAAAAAAAAATTATTTATTCATGGGAGACAGAGAGAGGCAGAGACCTAGGCAGAGGAAAAAGCAGGCTCCCTCTGGGGATCCTGATGCGGGACTCTATCCTAGAACTCCGGGATCATGACCTGAGCCAAAGGCGGAGGCTCAACCACTGAGCCACCCAGGAGCCTAGTAGCTAGAATTTTTTTTTTTTTTTTTTTTTTTTTTTTAGTATCTAGATTTTTTAATTTAGTGTTGCAAACTGGGTGATGGGGCAACTAATAATAATAGCAGTAGCAGATGTTAATCTTCCTTGAGTACACTTAACCTGTACTAGCCCCTTTTTGAAGTTTTATATATATATTGATTGGCTTATTTAATTCCTATAAATACTTCTTGTGACCTCAGCATAATTTTCCCTGTTCTACATATGAAGAAATTGAGGCACCAGAGTCGTACCTGCAAGTGTGTGGGGGGACTAGGAGTCGAACTCTTTATCACCTGAGCTTTTAATCAGTATGCTAGACAGCCTTTTGTTTCAAAATGCTTATTACTATCATATTTTAATATATCATGAATACTTGTTTCTTGTAAAAGAGTTCCCTTTCATTTTCTGGGAATGATTAAATCTTCCCTACCCCTCTCTCTCTCTCTCTTTTTTTTTTAAACTGTTGACAAGCTTCAGATGAGGTCCAAGCTTAAAAATACTGTTTTTCAGCAAGTAACAATCACTTTGTATAGCAATCTATTGCTCAGCCCTTACAATTTTTCTCTCCATGAGGTCCTCAGAGTCATCACAAAGCCAGTTTCTTACCCTGTTTACTTGACACACTTTTGATTGATTGATTTTAATTTAAATTCAGTTAGCCAACATATAGTGTATTATTAGTTTCAGATATACTTTTTAATAATTCATCAGTTGTAATACCCAGTGCTCATCCCATCACATTAACATACTTTTATTATGTGTGTGCTTTGTTTTAGTCATACTTGCAGGGACTAGGAATACAGACTAACAAAATGTGACTCTTGGCCGCACGTTGAATATTTTCTTATTGATGAGAGGGAGTGAGATGAATCAATTGACCTTGACAGCTATATTTTTCAGTCTTATTTGAATGTACCTGAGAAAATTTGATGTATTATTTTTTAAACTATTGGAGCCTAGAGTTAGTATAGAAATATAATGGAAATAATAAATGCATTTTTTATTAAAAAAAAGATGGTCTAAAAATATTAGGTAGCAGAGGAAATGTTTTTGTATTGTAACCAAAAATAAATTTAATTCACAAAGCTCTGATTCGCAAGTATTTTTAAGACTATGACTTTATGGTTAATTAACTTTTAGTGAAATGAGCAGTGCTTCTATTATGATCTCATGATTAAAGCTGTGTATACTTTTAAATAGAATTCAGATTAAAGTATGGTAAATTATATTCATAGAATTGATTTAAGGTTGTTAAACTTAAAGGACTTCATTTCATTGAGTTAAATGTAACAAATGGCCCTTTTTGAATACTTTCCTTCTCATTACTGAGTAAATGTAGGGATGTCTGATGTGAAGAGATACTGTAAACTGAATTGAGAAGTGTTGATAGGTGATTCTACAAATCAACAGTGACTTGAGAAAAACTTTTCTTTTTCTTATGAAGAAAAGGATACTGTCATATGGGTAAACTATTTGATGAATGATGATCATCCAACTAGTAGTGTACTGGTAAATGTTGAATAGTTTTAGAAAAAAGTGTGTGTATATACACATTCACACATTTATTATAAATCTGATATAAATGATGCATAGTACATAATTTATAAATAAATATATTGTACTCTTTATTGTAAATTTTGTAGAACTAATGGACTCTCACAGAATACCTTTGCTGATTTTTGCTCATCTCTTATATCTGTAGCCAACCTATGGTTGCAGTTAATAGATGACTAAAAGTATAGTTCTTTTTTTTTTTAAAAGACTTTATTTATTCATGAGAGACACAGAGAGAGAGAGAGAGAGAGACAGAGACAGAGACACAGGCAGAGGGAGAAGCAGGCTCCACACAGGGATCCTGACGTGGGACTCGATCCTGGGTCTCCAGGATCAGGCCCTGGGCTGAAGGCGGCACTAAACCACTGAGCTACCCGGGCTGCCCTAAAAGTGTAGTTCTGACCTGAATGCTGGTGTTGGTATTCTTTTTAATTAATGAGATGAAAGTGAAATAATAGAAATGTATGTTGGTAGTTCACTCATTTGTCAATTATTTGAGCAACTTTGATGAATCAGGTAATAGTTTCAAATCCTGGAAAAATATTTTCTTAATTTTTGTGCAATTTATAATGTAAGAGCTGCAGAAATGACATACTTTTAAGTTTCATCTGCATTATTAACATATTCCCTATTATTAAGTCTAGGCCATTAACAAAACAATAAATCAAGCCCTGGTCTGTAGCATCAGCTGATTTCTGTGGTGTAAATACTTCTACTTTGACTATTTCAAGTTACCAGCATAATGTCACTGACCTCAGAGTTGAGCTGAGCTTGGACATCCCTGTGACTGTGGGCCAGTGATTTTTTTCTTTTTATTTATTACTAATTAGTAATTCTGATGTTGGGTAGCTCACTACCTAGCAAGAGCAGTGACCACTTTGTTAAACAGATCTCATTGTTAGAAAATTGTTTTGCTGATCTGAAATTTATGTCTTTTGTTACTTTTTATTGGTCCTGGTTCTTTCCTTTGGAATAATATAGAGGAAATAGAGGTAGATAGGTCAGTTGGTCATGTGGCTCCACTAGTGTTTTCTTCTTCAGCTTACATGTCTCTAGTGTCCTTGATCTTCCTCTGTATGATGTAGTTTTGAATCATTCATTGCCCTGGATATTCTTCTCTGGGTGCAAGTCACTTGTCATTTGAAATGCAAGACCCAGAGCTAGTAACTGACCGTCTTTCACTTAATCTGCCTGTGTGAGAAGACATACAATAAAATGCAAAAACCGTTATTTGTGCTTTAGGCCAACTTGTGTCATTGACTTTATATGATATTGGGTTAGTCACTAATTTTAGCCTCATTTTTTTCACATAGAATGATTAGTCAATACTAATGAAAGCTCATTAACAAAGCTTTCTTGATAAGGGTAATTTAGACGTTAGTAAAAAGATGCTAAAATATTTTCTTTAATGAGGAAAAAGGTCAGACTGCATGCTAAATATCAAATTCTTGCTAATGTTTTTTTTTTTTTTAATTCTTGCTAATGTTGACCTTCGTCAGTTAATGTGGCAATCTAAAGAAAGACTTCTAAGATCATTTCAGTGTTACTGCAGCTTTTATTATTATTATAAATTGTTCAGGTACTATCTTGGGTGAGGTTATCTTTTATTGCCTGAAAACTAAGTCTCTTTTAGGTATTAGTATTACAGTTAATCTAGCTCATTAACTGAAACCACAGTTACTTATGTTTGATGCCCTATTGTAGTTTATCTGAGTATTTTTTTTTTACATTGTTTTATTTAAATTCAATTTGTCAACATATAGTATATCACCCGGTACTCATTCCATCAAGTGCCCTCAGTGTATGTGAGTATTTGTTTTTTTTTTTTTAAGATTTTATTTATTTATTCATAGACACAGAGAGAGGCAGAGACACAGGCAGAGGGAGAAGCAGGCTCCATGCAGGGAGCCCGATGTGGGACTCGATCCCAGGTCTTCCAGGATCACACCCCAGGCTGCAGGCGGCACCAAACCGCTGCGCCACCGGGGCTGCCCTGTATGTATTTGTTATGAAGGATGATGGTCACCTTTTTTGTTGGTTTCCCAATGTAACCAAATTAATTATTTATTTTTAGTTTCCCTAAATCTGTTGTTTAATAATCTCACCATTTTGACTTGGAAGAGTTCCCAGAATCTTTTTTGGAGTACTTAATTTGTATTCAAATCTTATCTCTATCTTTGATAAACTTTGGATCCTAGGACAAGTCATTTGACTGATTTAACACCCATATTTCCTCTTCTGTGAATTGAGAAGCTTGACCTTGAGTATTACTAGAATGCAGACTTTCTGTCTCTGCTTCTAGTTCTCTACCCTATCCTTTTTCCACACAGTAGGCAGAAGGGTCATTTAAAAATGTAAATCAGATCCTGCCATTTCCCGATTCATTTAGAATAAAGTCCAAGCTTCTCCCTCTGGCCTTTTGGGCCCTAGGTGAGCTGGCCTCTGCCTGTCTCTCCAATCTGTGTTTTGTTTGCTCAATACCTTTTAATGACATGGACCACTCAGTTTTTTCATAGCATTTCACAGTTTATGATTATGTATGTTTTTGTATTGTTTACTTGTTACTGTTTCCCCTATTAGACTAGATGGTCAATTGAGGGCAGGTAGTGTATTTTTATTCACTAATAAAACCTACTGAAATGTATTAGATATGCTCACATATTTATTATTCTTTTAAATCCTCTGATTCTTACTACTTTCAGATAAGTGTACAGCTCTTTCTTTCCCTTGGCAGTGTTTATCATGTCTTTTCTACCACTGGGCATTCCTATTAAAATGGATGTCTACTTATTTTTTTTAATAATTATTTTTTGGTAAGTCTCAGATTATAATGGCGTTTGAATCAAGTTAGGCTAAGTCTTAGATATATCAGTTTCTGTTGCATTCTTTAGTTGATTTATTTCCAGAAGAGTTTTAAAAATGATTAGAGAATTTCCAGTGATTTGTTTGAATGTGATTTTTAGCCTTTCCTACCTGTATTATAAAGTGTGATTTTAGGCTGAGCTTATTTTAAATTTGTAGATACTATGTTTGTTGTGTAGATATGACACAAACTTACTCTTTTTAATATTGTCAATATTGGTATCTATCATCTGAAACATAAGAATCTTATTGAAAATTGAACTAATATTGTCCCTGTGCCACCCAGAAACAGTAAAATATTCATTTTTTATGTCAAGTCACCAAGAGCACTGTTTGGTCATTTACCTAGTTAGTTAATGAGTTCGAGCATTTGCCCAAGGGGAGCCATTTTAGTTCTCTGTCAGCACTTATGATCAAGCCTACGGTTTATCTCAGATGAAGTGTGGTAAGAGAGGTTCATTCTGTTTTCTCTCTTTAGACTTAAGCTTAGGAAATTCATGCATTTTTTTTTTTTACTATTTTCTCTTTCATTTTAGTATTAGGCAGTAACTGTGGGACTGAAGCTCTAGGGAGATATTTGGCCCTGTCCCTTGAAGTAGTTCTAGTGGTTAACTATCTCTAGCAACTGAGCGCATTTCATTTAAAGCTTGAGTAAATCTTGGCAGTACCCATAGAAACCAGAGCATGTAATTGTTTTTTAAAGCTACCATATTATTAAATAAAGAATTTAGGATAAAGTATATTGCTTTAGTGGTCTTAATAATACTATTTAAAAAGATCCTTTTACCATGATCATTACAGTCACTTTATGATGTGGTCCAAGGACTTTACTAGGAAGAAACCCTGAATCCTGGGGGGTGAAAACAGGGAAAAGGCTTTGCAAGATGCAGTTCAGAGTCCCAAGGCCTTCCTCCTCTGTAGCCTCTTTCTTAGCTTTGGCGAATCATAGTTTGTAAAGCATTTAAGCTTTAAAAAGTTAGTCATGAAGTGGTCTGATGTTATGCAAAGGCCATGGGCTCAGGGAGCCAGGAAAAGCTGCATTAAAATCTCTACTCAGACATTTAATAATTATGAACTTGCTTAAATTACTTCACCTGAATCCTAGTTCCTTATTTGTAAAAATAAGGATAACAATACATACCTTGTGGGTATTAAATGAGATAATATATGTGAGATTTATTGCCGTGTAGTAGGTTCTCAGTAAATTAATGTTGTTTCTGTATATTCTGTATATTGTCTGGTGGTGGTGGAAATTCCCTGCACCCACAAATCCAGAAGTATCTAGTAAGGATCATTTTAGTCTTACTTGAAACTATACCCCCAAAGATATAAATTTGATGTGTATAATACAGTTGGCCAATTTATTGGTTTCTGATGAAATCAACAGGGGAGGGTGGCATTTGAGTAATCAGAAAACACATTCTTAAAAAAAAAATCACTTTTAAGATAATTACATTATAATATTTCAAAAGCTCAGTGATGTTAACTAAAATTATCTTGTTATTGACCAGTGCTTTTTTTATACCTGTCTCTAGGGAAGGAAGAATATGCACGATGGTGCGAGCGATGGTGAAATTCCTAAATTTGACGGTGCTGGGTATGACAAGGATCTGGTGGAAGCCCTGGAGAGAGACATTGTATCCAGGAATCCCAGCATTCATTGGTAAGTCTATCAGTCCTTGAATTAAAGTAACAACATTAATGGTTGGCTTGGTGTGAGCCTTATTATCCATGTTTGTGACTTCTTCCTTAATACATGTATAGAATTGACAGGACAGTTCTTCTTTCAGAATATAACCAAGACATTTTACATGTTTACTTGATGTTGACATAACTGACAAAGGTTGTTAATTGAATAACGTGTCCTATTTAATCACTGCAGTATATTTTCACTCATTTTATGCAGTATTAATTAAATAGTGCTCTTACTATGATAATTTCATGAATAAAAAAACTTAAAAAAAGTAGTATTGACCACAAGTCACAGGTGTCCGTGAATAAGCATGAAACTTTGCTATTCTTGTAAAGGGATGACATAGCAGATCTGGAAGAAGCTAAGAAGTTGCTAAGGGAAGCTGTTGTTCTTCCAATGTGGATGCCTGACTTTTTCAAAGGGATTAGAAGGCCATGGAAGGTGAGCATTTATTAAAATAAAATAGGTATAAAAATGATGCTTGCATGATAATGAATGACAACATTGGGGCTTCTTTATGCATTTGTTACACAGTAGTGAAGGTTGGGGGAGGTCTGTGTACTACACCCTAAATACCTGGATTTGAATTTGTAGTTGAGGTGTGTCTCCTCTGCATGGCAAGAGAGGAACAGAGTGTTGAAACTGCAGTCTTTAGTAAAGTCACTTGCCTTCAGTTTGCCAGGCTAGGGATTAGCTTTAAGAATTTTCTAGGTATCTGTTTCTGTAAATAAGTTAACAAGCAAATTAAATAGTAGATAGTCTTGTAGAATAAATATTTGATCAAATAAATACTTTCTAAAAGTTGGCACTAATTATTTTGATCACTTCATTTAGGCTTGGTATAATTCTCAGACATTGCCCTCCACTTTAGAATAAAAAGCCTGCTCAGGACTAGTTCCTAAGTCTACTGTTTTTATTTTAGCATATTAAAAAAACCCTTCCAACAATGGCTGCATGGAACTTTTTTTGGTATTCGTCCTAGGCAAAGGCTTCCTTGAGTCCGATCCATAGAGTGAAATAAAACACTCTTCTGAATTAGCTAGGAAGGTCTGTTTCTCTTTTCAATATCTCTTCCTTTTTTTACATGCCTAAAAGTTAAGATGAGGAGAAATTGTGTATCTATTTACTCAAATAGCTTGGAATACTCATAGCGTTTTGATTGTCTTCTACAACTTAAAAACTTTTATGGACTCTTATAGATTTACCTAATTTTGGTAACATTCCCTTTTTATTATAACTTTTAGAACAATATTTATTAGAGAAAAAAGTCTTAAAATAGGTATTGAAAGAAGTTTTAAGACAGGCATGGTAGGTATAACCAACCTATCTTAATGAGCCTTGTAAGCCTTTACCAAGAAGGTGATTTGCACATGTAGAAAAATCATCTTGTGAAGGATGGACTGGAGATGGTCATAAATGGATGCTGATGAAGAATCTGAGGAAGAGGCTGTTGTAATAGTCGATCTGAACAATGAGGATCTGAACAAAGGCATTTGTAATTGGCTAGTGAAAAATGGGTGGGTTTATGAGAGATGTTTAAAAGGTAATGATAACATTATGACGGATGGTTTATAGGGAGAGGTACAAATTATGTTACTCCCAAATTCCAGGCTTGAACTGAAGGAGTATGCAATTACTTCTGACACCAGCTACCCCTAATTGGGCCAAATCTTACAGGTTGAAGGTACTTCTCCATGTGATTGTCCTTATTTCAGATGCCAAGTGCAAACTTGGGCATCCCAAGGTCACCCTCACTTCTGGCCAGCTGGCTATAAATTTGGGGGTTCTTACTACCCCCCTTAGGTTTGGTAATTTTCTAGAATGACTCAGATAACTTAAGAAAGCATTCTACTTACAATTACAGTTTTATCATAGCAAAAGGAGGCAAATCAGAAGTAGCCAAAGGAAGAAATGCATAGGGTAAGATCTGTGAGGATGCTGAAAATGAAACTTCTGTTGTTTTCTGCACACAGAATCATGATGCTTTACCCTCCTAGCACCTGGGTGTGTGACAATCCATAGAGTATTGCAACAGGGAAGCTTACTCAAGCTTCAGTTTCCAGGGTTTTTACTGGATTTCATTACATAGTCATGATTGGTTAAATCATTGCCTGTGTGTCTCAGTTTCCAGTCTCCCTTCTTTCTCTACGTCTTGTTGATATCCTATGGCTCAAAGCCCCAATTCTTTAATGCCATGGTTGGCTTTTCTGGCAAGGCTAGCCACCATCCTGAATCATCTCATTAGCATAAACTGTATAGGGGCCCACCATGAGTCACCTCAACATAAAATTTCAGGATTCAAATGAACAACAGAAGCACTCCTGTCACTTTGGAAATTCCGAGGATTTATAGTTTTCTTCCCAGGAACTGGGGAAAAAGACCAGTCAAATTCTTTATTATATAAGGTGCATACACTATGAATTGGTACTGAAAATTGGGAAGAGGGGCAGATTTAAATAGAAACAAAATATGTTTAGGTAAATACTCAGTAAGTAATTGGAAACAGGTCTGGAGCTTAGAACAGAGTTTGAATTTAAATTAAAATCGTGATAATATGGGTGTGGATGAGATTGTTCAAGGAAGTCTATAAAGGAAAAAGAGCAAACGGTTTGGAATTGCTTCAAGAATATAAAGGGCAGGGGGAGGAGGAAACCTGAAAGGCAGTGAAGAGAGTCATGAGTAGGAGGAGCATCAGGGAAGAACTGTGTCATAGAACTAACATAGGGAGGAAGCACTTCAGGAAGAAGGGAATGAACATCAGGTAACAGCACCAACAGAGGTCAGGGAGAAGGAAAGAAGATATGAGATGAAAAGTGACCACTGGATTAGTAAATTAGGTAGTTTTAATGAATTAGTGGAGGCAGAACTCAGATTGTAGCTCAAAAAGAAAAACTAGTAAGCATGAAATTTTTAAAGAAGGTTGGCTGAGAAGGTAAAAAGTGGATAGTATCAAGGGGATTCGGAGGGTTGAGCAAAGGATTTTTTTTTTTTTTTTAAACAGGACAGATTTAAGTATGTTTATATACTGGGGGAAAGAGCCAATAGAGAAGGAGATATAGGAAATAGAGGAGATAATTGAAAGAATAATTCATGAGGAGCTGAAATTTATAAATATTGTACTGTGTGATTCTATCTATGTACAGAGACTGATGTTGGAAATTAACTCCTATTGGAGGTGCCCACATGAAAGACATTACAGGAACAGAGAGGGCATTCAAAGGGGACATTAGAGAAATAATGAATTTTGCTATAGCTGTGCTTATACTATTAGTTGTTTTTAGTTTTCAAAAATCCATCTCATGCAGTTATAAGCTCCTTGCAGAGCAAAAAAACAGTTACTAAAGTAGTGTTTCAAATCTTCTTTCTGGGTGTCAGAATTCTATAGGTAGTGTTAACCTTAAAAATAAAGCTGTCATCACGCTCCCTGCATGGAGCCTCCTTCTCCCTCTGCCTATGTCTCTGCCTCTCTATCTGTGTGTCTCTCATGAATAAATAAAAAATCTTAAAACAAAACGGGACGCCTGGGTGGCTTAGCGGTTGAGCGTCTGCCTTTGGCTCAGGATCTAGTCCCACATTGGGTTCCTGTATGGAGCCTGCTTCTCCCTCTGCCTATGTCTCTGCCTCTATGTCTCTCTGTGTCTCATGAATAAATAAAATCTTAAAAAAAAAAGCTGTCAGTTATTTTATCAGCAAAAAATGGGCTTATTTGAGAATAGCAGAGAATTACAATTTGGGACAAACAAGCTATAGCAATAGCCAAGTCTGGAGAACAGAGGAGAGGAATACTCTTTTTTATAGAGAAAAGGGAAAATTGGGAGGGTTGTTAGTAAAAGCCTATTTGAGTAAAGTGTGAGGTTACAGTGTAATGGTTTTTCATTGGCTGGGTTATGATACTCTTTCATTGACTAGGCTGTTGCGAGGGGGAGGGTAGGGGGTGGCGATAGTAGCTAACACAGATAGACTTGCAAGACAGGTCTCTTCCAGTTGGGTCTGCAGTTGACTAAGAGTTGTAGAGCATGAGAGCTCCCCCTTGTGGCTTCGTAGCTCTATTTTAAAGGAGTCTTCCATTAATTTTCACACTAGAAAAGAGTTTGGACAGTTTCTGAATTTGTGAAACTTTATATGTGCATAATTTTCAAAATTTAAATCTCCAGAAACCTATTAAATAAATAGGACAGAATTCTTCTTAAGATTACCAACTACTATACAAAAGAAATGTGATGTTCACTGGTTATCTGAACTCCCATTGAAAGTGTGAGAAGAAAATCCAGTAGTCTTCAATAGTAGAGGATTGGTGTTATTGAATAATTTTTACTTCTAGTTGATTTATTTTTACAGAAGTGTTTGTGTTTGTTTTCAAAGATAGTAAGTAAAATTTAGTTTTTAGTCTATATTTAGTGGCTCTTTCATCACTAACACTGTTTTATATGAACATTAATTGTCTAGCATATTAATCTGATAAAGTGCTAGCTAAATTGAATATTCTTGAATTGCCACTGGATTTTAGTTACCTTCTTAACTAATAAGTGGATCTCTACTTTGTTTAAGAACTGTAGCATGTTTTGTGGAAGACAGGTTTTGTCTCTTTGAAGGGCAAGGAATGTATAATTCTACTAGATGTGGTAGGAAATGTCTTAATTTCATTATGTTTAAACAGAGCAGTCACTCTTAAGCCATGCTCAAGACTATACATACTTACCTTCTTCCAGGTAGAAAATTGGGTAGGTTCTTTTAAAACGTATCAGAAGATTTCTTACTGTCTGGGCCTTTTGTTAGCCCATCCCTGAGTACCTCTCATTTGAGGCATTTTGTGAAATCAGTCTGCATTTTTTTTAATCTGTGAAATGATACTCATGTCAAATGCACCATGAGTGACATGGTGACAGTTGAGTTTCTTTTTTGATGGGGAAATTTTTTATGTACATCAATAGCTGATGATATTTTATAAGAATACATTTTAATTTGATAAAACATTTAATACAGATTTTGAAATTTCAGGGTGTACTGATGGTTGGACCCCCGGGCACTGGTAAGACTATGCTAGCTAAAGCTGTTGCCACTGAATGTGGCACAACATTCTTCAATGTTTCATCTTCTACACTGACATCTAAATATAGAGGTGAATCTGAGAAGTTAGTCCGTCTGTTGTTTGAAATGGTGAGTGTTATATTCAGATTTCAAAGTACTGTTTCTGTAGGCGAATGATATCCCTTTTATATCCATTTACCTAGGGATCTGTTTTTGTTTTTGTTTTTTTAAGATTTTATTTATTTATTCATGAGACACACAACACACACACACACACACACACACAGGCAGAGACACAGGCAGAGGGAGAAGCAGGCTCCATGCAGGGAGCCTAATGTGGGACTCGATCCTGGGACTCCAGGATCATGCCCTGAGCCTAAGGCAGACGCTCAACTGCTAAGCCACCCAGGTGTCCTGGGATCTGTTTTTAAAAGGACAAATGGAGTTGTAGTTGAACAGTTCTTGACACATGAGTAAGGTATGGGGTGGTGGCTTTTTTGGAGGGTTGATGTGTCTTCAGTGTTTCTTCCTCTCTGAGATAAGGGCAGCTTATCCAGTGAGGGTGGAAGACACTTTGGAAGTAATATGTATGGTTTGATATTTCAGGATTTCTAATGAGCTGGTTGGGCTGAGTATATTTTAGTATATATTTTAAAAATCAGAAATTAGGCACCTGGGTGGCTCAGATGGTTAAGCATCTGTCTTTGGCTCAGGTCATGATCCCTGGGTCCTGGGATCAAGTCACATATCAGGCTCCCGGCTCAGTGGGGAGCCTGCTTCTCCCTCTCCCTCCTGCTTATGCTCTCTCTCTCAGTCTCTGTCTCAAATGAATAAACAAAATCTTTAAAAAAATATATAAAAATCAGAAATTGACCTATCGTTAAAGTTTTCCTTTTTCATTAGGGACTTGCAGTAGTTATTTAAGAATATATATTTGAAGATGGAGATTGATAATTTATCTTTAAGAAGATTTATATTAGGAAATTTTCAAACACAAAAGTAGAAATAATAGTACTATGAATCCCCATGTATCTGTCACCCACCTTCACCAACCATCTAACTTTTATTTTTAGAAATATCCATTTTCTGATATAAATGATTTAATCTCTGTCAGTAATCAAATGGTGGCATAAAGCAGTGAGAAATTTCTGCCTTTTTTTTTTTTTACCATTATTTTAGGAGGAGGAAATGGCATGAAAAAAATTCAGATTATTTTATGAGCTTATTGAATGGTTTCTTTAAAATGTTTTTTTACAAAGGCTAGATTTTATGCGCCCACTACGATCTTCATCGATGAAATAGATTCTATCTGTAGTCGAAGAGGGACCTCAGATGAACATGAGGCAAGTCGCAGAGTCAAGTCTGAACTACTCATTCAGATGGATGGTAATTGATATTTAATTACTGTCCACAAGCTGTTATATTTCCTTTTTGAATTTTGTGTAGATTCATATTGGTGGAAATTCTCAGTGAGTGGACTAAAAGGCAGCCTGAATTTATTTGTAATCATTTGTTCATCCACCCACTTGTTCAGTTTGTTCATGCACTGAGATAGCATTTATTGCATACATGTTGTGAATCATGTACCATTCTAAGTTCTGAGGTTACAAAGAAAAGGAATGTCATGGCTGGTAAGGGGTTTACTAGGCCTGCAGAGGTTCCAAAGATGTGGTCCAGGGCCCCAGGGATCTTTAAGGCCCTTTTAAAAGGTCTGCAAGGGTAAATCATTTTCATGATAATAGCAAGACTTTATTTGCCCTTTTTCATTCTCATTCTCTCATGAGAATACAGTGAAGTGTTTCAGAGGCCACAAGACATTTGGGATGCCATAATAGATGGAAAGCAGAAGCAGATAGGAGAATCTAGCTATTCTCTGTTGAGTCCGACATTAAAGAGATTTACAAAAATGTAAGAAAATGCCACTGTTTTTACTAATTATTTTTGGTTTTGAAAAATATTTTCCACAAAATGTTATTTATATTAATAATAGATTTATTACTTTAAAGTGAATTAAAAATTCTCAGTTTTAATTTCTAATGGTAAATATTGATTGATCTATTCCATACACACAAAAGCTCTGTGGAGCTCAGTCATTCTTAAGAGTATAAAAGGATCATGAACCAAAAAGTAGAACTACTGATGTAGTTGGGAAGCAGGCCACTTAACAATACGTCATAAATTGTATGGTAGAACTAAACTCTGGGTGTGGTAAAAACACAGTAGGAAAGGCACCACCCAGACTAAGGGAGTCTTGGAAGGAAACAGCCAAGTTGGGCTTTGAAGCTTTGGTACTTAATCAGACAAAGAAGTGGCATTGAAGGAAGAGAGTAATGGGCCAGAGCTGCCTTTAGAGCTTTATTACTGTGGTCGTTGTGTGGCAAACGTAAAATGTGTTTAAAAAAAAAAAATCTAGAATGTGTTGCTTCAAAACCGCTATGGTTATACAGAAACTGTGGATACTTACCGAATACTTCAGTGTGTGTCATATATAGTGCCAGGCACGGTAAGGATACATAAATAAGTGTAGTATGAGTCCCTTCCCTTAATGAGTTTATCATTTTAATTTCTGCTAAAGTATGAGAGAAAGAAGTGACTATGTTATATGTTGAGGGAAGGATCTAGAGGAGAAACACATTAGTTTTAAAAATATCACTGAATATAAATTTAGTCAGCTGAATTTCATCAAGGGGCATTTGTGACTACTGTTGATTATTAATTGGATAGCTTGATTCTTTGTGATAGTGATTAAAACAGGAGTTTAGTAATAATTTATTAGGCAAATACCATATTGAACTGAGTTGCTTTAAAGTCACTACTTTGTTGTGCCAGGTCACAAATACAAACTTTTAGCAATAAAGTTTGTTAGTTTTTGATGTTTTGGGATTTTTTTTGTTTTGTTTTGTTTTGTTTTGCTGCACATTTTCCAGAGTTTCCATTGGGTAACCTGAAGCTTTTTATTCTAAAACTTTGGTTCTGAAAAAGTAGACTCAAGATACATATGTTTGATTTGGTATAAAAAAAAATGGTATTTTCAGTACTATTAGGTTCATTCTCAAATTTTTTGTTTATTTTTTTCAAGTCACTTAGAAGTTTGAAGGAGAAAAATGTTTGCAGTATATTATGATTGCATGCTAGTACATTAGTAAATGTGAACCTTCTTCTGTTCTTGAGAAAATAAATTAAACTAACAACTAAAATAAATTTTTTTTGAGGGACTTCATGATTTAAAAAAGGGATAGAACAGCATAATCTCCCATGCCTTTTCAGAGCAACTACATATTCATTTTCTTCAGAAAAAGATGGGTTTTCTTATTGGATTAGAATCCTGTAATAGATTATATGAATTCTATTACCTCTTTGTTTTGTAGTTAACTGTTGATGCATCAGGTTCTGGCATCATACTGAGGTCAGAAGGATGGCATTATTTTCGTCATTGAGACCATTACAAATTCTCTGGCTGATGCTTAGAAATGTTAGTTGAATGAGAGAATAAGGTACTATAAGAAAAACACCTTTTCCCCTTATTGTGTATAGGAGTTGGAGGAGCTTTAGAGAATGATGATCCTTCCAAAATGGTTATGGTATTGGCCGCTACTAATTTCCCATGGGACATTGATGAAGCTTTGAGAAGGAGATTAGAAAAGAGGATATATATACCTCTCCCAACAGGTATGATGCCTTCCTTTTAATATATTTTTCTTTTCTTTTCTTTTCTTTTCTTTTCTTTTCTTTTCTTTTCTTTTCTTTTCTTTTTTCTTTTCTTTTCTTTTTTTTTCTCTTCCTATTACCTTTTTCTGTTTCTCTTTAAGTCTTTAGTCCATTGGCATTCTGCTTAAAGTTTCTAGCATCACAAAATTAATTTGTAGTAGATGGAAAGTGAGGCCCACAGTAGTACTCTGTTGAAGTTCCTGACATTTCATTTCAGAGCAGTTCTTACATTCGGAGCAATATTCATGTTAATAAATTTGAAAGGATATCTAAAGTTTTACTTTTAAATGTAAAGTCCTCATTAAATCTTAAGGGATTAAAGTCCTCTTGGGATTTTTTTTTTTTTCCCTCTTGGGATTTTCTTAAAAATATGCTTCTTTGAAAAATACAACTTCATCCTATTAATGACTTAAAATTTTCATAAGTGGACTTTTTTTCTTCTTATAGTGAGATAAAATTTACATGGAATGAAGTGTATAAACCTTACGTATGTAATTTGCTGAGTTTTGACAAACGAATAATCCTGTTTAATCAGTACCCTGCTCAAGATGTAGTATATTTCTGTCACCTCAGGAAGGAACTGTGTGTCGTCTACCAGTTAATTCCAACCGTCAATAGGTATTAAGTTTCCTGATTTTTATCACCATAGATTAGTTTTATCTATTACTAAGCTTCATGTAAATGGAATCATAACATGGGTACTCTGGTATATCTGTTACTTTCACTCAACATAATGTTTTGAGATTCATACATATGGTTACATGTATTGATAGTTTATTCTTGATATGATTATACCAGTGTTTATTTCCTTTTCTGATGGACATTGGAGTTATTTCTAGTTTGGGGCTATTAGGAATGAAACTATAAATACTCCTTATACAAATCTTTTTATGGATGAATGTTTTTGATTCTTTGGGGGAACATAGCTAAGAATGGAATAGGTGGGTTCTAGGTTAGATATGTTTGTATTTAACTTTATAATACCCAAATTGTTTTCCTAAAAAGTGATCTACCGTTTTACACTTTCACCATCAATGAATGAGAATTCCAGTATTTCCATATCTTTACCAACATTTGGTATGGTCAGTATTTTAATTTTAATCATCCTACCAAGTCTGAAATACTATCTCACATCTTTAATTTGCATTTTTCTAATGACTAATGATGTGGAGTGCCTTTTTGTGTGCCTCTTGGTCCTTGGTTTATCTTTTGTGCAGTGTCTTTTCAAGTCCTTTGCTCAGGTTTTTTTCTTTTCCTTTTCCTTTTCCTTTTCTTTTTCCTTTTCCTTTTCTTTTTCTTTTTCCTTTTTCTTTTCTCTTTCTTTCTTTCTTTCTTTCTTTTTTAGTATTATGTGCTGCTGAAGCGAGCACTTTTGCTCAGTTTTTGATTTATTTGTTGTTTTATTAATGCTGTATAGTTCTTTACCAGGTACGTGCATTTTGAGTATTTTCTTCTATTTTGCCTCTCAGTTTTCTTTATAGTGTCTATTGATAAGCAGAAGTTTTAATTTTGACGAAGTCCTCTTGTCAAGTTTTTATTTTATGGATCATGTGTTTTGTGTCTTAAGAAATCTTTGCTTATGCCAAAGGGCAAAGGTTTTCTCCTATTTTTCTTTCAGAAACTAGTTAAATGTATGATCCATATTGAAGTAATTTTGTGTATATATAGTGTCAGAGATTGAGTTACATAGTTTTATATATATATATATATAAAACTATGTATATATATATATATATATAGTTATTCTAGCACCACTTGTTAAAAGTTTTCTTTTCATTGAGTTATTTTGGCACCTTTGTTGAAAATTATTTTGCTACGTATGTGTGAATCTATTTCTCAGCTCCGTTCCATTGATATAAAAATAAGTGTAGGGGTATCTAATCAGTTATCTATTTTTCTTTTCTAAAGGTTTATTTACTTATTTGAGAGAGAGAGAGAGAGAGAGAGAGAGAGCAAGAGTGCACTAGTGGGTTGGGGGGAGTGGCAGAAGGAGAGGGACAGAGAAACTCTAAGCAGACTCCCTGCTGAGCACAGAGCCTGACTTGGTACTTGCTCTCACCACCCTGAGATTAGGACCTGAGCCAAAACAAAGAATCAAATACTTAACCAACTGCACCACCCAGGTGCAGTTTTTTTCTATTTTTTCTTAAGTAAGCTTTGGTAGCTTGTCCTTCAAAAAATTTGTCCATTTCTTCTAAATTGTCAAACTGGGATTTGACCTAATACAAATGTGCAAGCTGACTAAGGGATTCATGTGAGGCTGTTGATTTCATGTCTAGTTCTGGAGACTGAAGTCAATAGTGAAGGCAATTCAGGAAGAAAAGATGAAGTGGTGGAAACAAGGACAAATTATAACCTGTGAGGATGAGCTAGAACCCCATGAGGATAGACTGGAACCCATGGTGGGCTCTCATTGCTTCTAAGACTTACAGCTTTGATTACTGAGGTGCTCTATTGTAACAATATTAAATATACACCTGGTTGGGAGTCAGAAAAGCCGAAGGAGGAAATCTAGCAGGAACTGCTCCATACTAGCAGGTGAGCCGGAAGATAAGTGACAGTATGCTTGAGCTGCAAATGCACTTCATGCCCTGAACCAACTTCCTGAGTTGACTTACTTCTGCCTTTCAAATAGCACCCATAATGACTCAACCAGAGCTGTGCTCTGTGAATGCTGGGAAATGAAATTACAGCTTTGCTTAAGTTCATGTGATACAAATCTATATACCTTATTTTCCCCTTATTATCAGTAGAATGTATACTAATAGGCTCTGTTTTCATTCTTAAAATTGGTCATTTGTATTTTATCTCTCTTTTTCATGATCATCTTGCTGGAGATTTATCAAAATTATATTTTTGAAAATCCAATTTTTTGCTTTGTAATTTTTCTGTTTCCTATTTCATTGACTTTCTCTTATTTCTCCATTATACTTTGAGTTTAGTCTGTTTTTTTCCCTGAAGTTAGAAACTTAACACTATTGAGTTTAAACCTTTCTTCTGTTTCTAAATATAAACATTTAAAGCTTAAATTTCTCTTTATGCACTGCTTTGGCTTTATCCTACAAATTTTGCGATAGCATGTTTTCTTTACTATTCAATTAGAAATACTTTCTATTTTTCCTTTTTTAAATTTCTAACTTAATTCCAGTATAGTCAGGTACTACTCAGTAGAATGTCAATTTTTAATTTTATTGAATTTATTTTATGATTCAGCACAAAGTCTTTCTTGGTGAATGTTTCAGTTGCAGTTAAATAGAGTATTCTGTACTTGTTGATTATAATATTCTATAATTATTGGTCAGATCAAGTTAGTGTAATAGTACTGTTCAAATCTTTTAGATCCTTACTGATTTTTTTACTCTGTTTTTTCTACCACTTACTGAGAGTGGGGTGTTGAACTCCAAGTATTATTGTGAATTTGTTTATTGTTTGCTTTAATTCTGTGAATTTTTGCTTTGTACATTTAAAAAAAATTTTTTTAATGCAGAGAGAGAGAGAGAGAGAGGGGCAGAGACACAGGCAGAGGGAGGAGCAGGCTCCATGCAGAGAGCCTGATGTGGGACTCGATCCTGGGACTTCAGGATCATGCCCTGGGCTGCAGGCGGTGCTAAACCGCTGCGCCACCGGGGCTGCCCTGCTTTATACATTTTGAAGTTCTGTCATTAGTACATAAACAGTTATCATTGTTATATCTTCTTTGTCCTTCTACCATTATGAAATATCTTTCACTATCTCTGGTTAGACCCTTTGATTTGTTGCTTACTTTGCTACTAATATAGCCTTTCTTTTGCTTATTGTTTGCATGATATATCTACTTTCTTCCTTTAGTTTTCACTGTGTCCTTATATTTATAGTTTAGTTCTTATAGACAGCATATATTTTAGTCTTGCTATTTATCCAGTTTATTTCTACTTTTTTAATTGGAGTATTTAGGGGCTTCTGGGTGGCTCAGTAGGTTAAGTATCTGCCTTCAGCTCAGGTCATGATCTCTCAGGGTCCTAGGATCATGCCCTGCATTGGGCTCCCTGCTCAGTGGGGAATCTCTTGTTCCTCTCTTTCCGTCCCCACCCCTGCTTGTGCACTCTCTTTCTCTCATACTCTCTCAAATAAATAAAATCTTAAAAAAAATTAATTGTAGTCCATTTAAATATAATATAATCATTGGTATGGCTGTGTTTATGTCATCTTGTTATTTTCCCTTTTGTTTCTCTGTACCTCTCTTCTTAATTTCTTTCGATAATTAATTGATTGTTTTAGTATCTACTTTAATTCCTTTATTGAATTTTTACCTATCCCTGTTTTTTTAAGCAGTTAATCTAGGGATTATAGTATGCATCTGTAACTCTTCACAGTTGACTTAGTTGTACCTTCATGTAAAATGTAAGAACTATTTGCCTCCCCACCCAGTCTTTGTGCTATTTTGTCATGTATTTTATACCTACATTCAGTATAGATTCCATGATCTAATGAAATATAAATTGTCAGTTTAAACTTAGCTTAAGGGCAGCTCAGGTGGCTCAGCGGTTTAGTGCCACGTTCAGCCCAGGGCCTGATCCTGGAGACCTGGGATCGAGTCCCACGTCAGGCTCTCTCATGGAGCTTGCTTCTCCCTCTGTCTGTTTCTCTGCCTCTCTCTCTCTCTCTCTCTCTCCCTCTCTGTGTCTCTAATGAATAAATAAATAAAATCTTAAAAAAAATAAACTTAAGAGGAGCACAAAAAGCAGATTTTCTATTTGCCTACATATTTAACATCCCCACTACTCTGCTTTTCTTTTTTAAGGTCCAGATTTCCATATAGGTTCATCTCCCATTTGTCTAGAAAACTTCCCTTAACATTTCTGTTTAGGGTCTGCCAGCATTAAGTTCAGTTTTTGTTATCTGAGATGTCTTTCACCCTTATTTCTGAAGGGTATTTTTGATTGATAAATAATTCTGGGTTGAGAGAAGTTTTTTGTTTGTTT